TGTAAGTAAAGATTGTTATTACTGATGTTGGGTAATACTCAACATCAATATCATCATTCACAATACTCGAAGGTCAGCCAAATATTTAATTATTTAAAAATCCTAAAAATTTTTGCTGTTGCAATTTCAATACTGTTCTATTAAAACTTCTCTATTGAAAACAATAATTCATGGAATAGAATAGAATAAAATTTGGTTTCTTTCATTAAAAGGGATGTTAAAAATCAATTTAATATTAAACTAATGTATAAAAAATGATAAAATAATTTTAAATATTGAATATTCCTTTATAATATTAGATATCTGACGCAGATGGCACGGCACTGACGAATTCTGAAGCTGTCTCTTTCGCAGTACGCATAGCACAACATCTGCGAACGATGGGCTTCAAACAAGATGATGTTGTTGGTATAGCTGGTGGTAATACAACTTATGTGATGCCATTAGTTTTAGGATGCCTGCTTAATTGCACTCCGTTTCATGCAATAAGTCCACATAATGATGAAGGTAACTTTTTTATAAAGATTGCATTTAATAATATTAATATTTATAAAATAAATTGTCCAATCTATTAGATACAATAAAACACCTGTTCAGCATTACACGGCCGAAAATTATATTTTGTGATGGAAATATTTACGATCGCTTAAACATTATTAGTAAAATATTAAATGCTAAAGTTTTTACTTTAAAATATCACAGATGGGATTTACCTAAAATTGAGGATTTATTGGAACCGACAAAATCTGAACTATTTTATACGTAAGTATAATATGAATTATATAGAAAAGAAAGTGACAAAAAAAAAGTTTATACACATATATTTTTTTAGTTTCTAAACAGATTAAACAAACTCGATTTATTTGACAGATATGAAATCGATAAAATATTTGAATATTTAGTTAAATATTTAATATTTATTTAATTCGCAATTTTTTAAATTTTAAAAGCAATGTTATAAATATTAGTTTTTCTAATTTCGAAATTTTAAAAGTTAGAAATTTGTCTCTAGATAAAACCTGTATATAAAATTAAATTATGAAATTAAGATATATAAATCAGAGAGGCTATTAAAACAGATTATGCAGCACTCATGATTCTACCCATCAAAGGTGATAAAATCATTACTGTATATATTCTACTAGCAGTCATATTCTCGTCAAAATTTTGTTTGCAAACGTTTATCGATCAAATTATTACAAATTTTTATTATATAGAATTTCTTAAAACTTATTATTCAAATAATGAATCTATGTGAGACACGTATCGGACATTACTAAAAATTTATGTTTAATATAATCGACCTACAGAATTTAGTTCTTTAAAAAAGTAAATGTACCGAAGTGTGGATGCAAATCAAGAATAACCATTTAGATGTTAGATCCTGAAAAAACTGCACTCTCTTATATCACCACATAGAAGATTCTTTATAAATAATTACATATGATTGATCAGATTTTTAAACATTGGCCTTTATAGCAATTCAAAATAAATTTTTGTTGTGTTTTGAGATCATCTTTAGTGATAAAGTTTATTCCCGAAAGGTGCATCCCAAATAATTAGTTTACAAAGCAAAGAATTCAATTTATTTTACCATAACAGACAATATTGACTATAAATTATACTAACATTCAAAAGTTTTAAAATCTTGATTTTCTCAATAGAAATATTAAAATTTATTTTTAGAAAATTGGACCCCAACTAAATGTATATATTATTATTACTAAATAGCAAAATTTGTATTCTCTTTAGATTAAGTGTTAAATATTTAATAATATTTATTTAATTTTTTTTTTTATAGCCCTGAGATTCTAAAATTAGGTGGTGATCAGACAGTTGCTATACTAAGCACTTCCGGTACTACAGGACCACCTAAAGCAGTTTGTATATCAAATACGGCATGTTTATTTGATTATGGGTGAGTTTTTATTTTATTTTATTCTAACCAAAAATATATTAAAAAAAAAAATATTTTTAATTGATATTGGTATGTTATTGGACTCTCTGTTGCCGATCAGACTGACTGATTTAAGTCCCCTATTAATAAGTTTACTAAGTCGAGTCTAACGCTGAGAGTATCTAAATAAGCGAGTACAATTATAAAAATTTACTTTTTGGACTTTATACATTGACTTGTATGTTATATCAATGCTGTCCGAAATAATGATAGCAGTGCAGATACTTATGAGGAAATAGAGCTCAAAGAGTGTGTAAAACATTTTTTTCTTAGACTAAAATTCCACATTTCTAACCTTCGTTTAATCTGTAATAAAAATAAATAAATTTGAAGTAAAAGATTTATATCTAAGCATTATTAAGAACTTGAAATTCCTTATAATGAGAGAATAAAAATAGCTTATTTTCATAATTTAAATGATCAAAGATTTTAATGTGTTAAGTGTCGGAAGTAGACGGTTTTGCATATATGCATCGTATACAAACTATAGCTTTTTTAGTTCTCTGAAACTAAAAAGTGAGTCACTTTATGGTAAGTTAGTTATATAAATCTTTATAACGCATATTTTCGAATAGCTTCTAAAATTTAATGATTTTCAATTTTACTATCGTACTCATATGAAATAATAATAATGAGATTTTTAATTACAGCTTTGTCACAGCTCAAGATGTACTGCTTGCATTCAATACAATTGACTGGGCTCCAGGCATGTTTAGTATGCTATTTAGTTGTGGACATGGTTCCACACGCATTATTACAGATAAACCTTATTCACCTGATTATTTACTGGAACTCGTGAAAAAGTATAAAATATCGATTTTAACATTATCACCGCAACATGTAAGCCGTTTGATTAAATGCTCACTTGTAACTGCAGAAAAATTGAATAGCATACGCTTCCTTAGCATTGGAGGTGGTAATTGTTATGTGCCGAATTTACTGAAATTGCAAGCCCTACTTAATGCAGGATTTGTGTCTTATGGCTATGCGCTTACCGAGTGTGGTGGTGTTTCAGCAAATATGGGCACAAATAAACCAAGTTCTGTTGGCAAATTGGTGCCGGGCATAAAATTGAAAATACTCGATGAGGCTGGTCGTAGTCTTGGTTATGGTGAAACGGGAGAAATATTGGTGAGCAACGGCAAATTATGGAATGGCTACTATGCCAATCCAAATGAAACCAAACATATGCAAGATTACCAAGGTTGGTATCATACTGGGGATCTAGGTTATGTTGATACAGATAATTATTTGTATGTGGTTGATCGCAAGAGGGATGTGTTAAAATTTCACGGTATGCAATATTGCCCAAATGAAATTGAAGAAGTCGTAGCTGAATTACCGGATGTTGTAGAAGTTTGTGTTTTCGGTCTGTGGAATGATTTTGATGGCGATGCAGCTGCAGCAGCGGTAGTTAAACTGAAAAGCAGTAAACTAAGTGAGCAGGAAGTAGTAGAATATGTGGCAAAACGTTTAGTTGTTTCACACAAACAATTGCATTGTGGTGTATTCTTTGTAGATGAACTACCAAAAACTGGCAGTGGTAAAATATTAAGAAATCAAGCAAGAGATTTAGCTTTAGGCAAAAAATGGCAAGTGCAAAAAAATGGTTACGAAAAATGGTAGTTTTTAGTTCTTGTGTGTATAATTTTGTTTCTATGAAATTACAAAAATAAACGAATTTTGTTATTTATTTTTATTAAATAATTTAGTTTTATTTTTATTTTAAATTCATTCCACTTTGCCATCTGTTGTGCTATTATAGAAAATACGAGCAGTTATCAGTTGATAAGTTTTTTTAAACGAAGAAACGCTTATCACATTTTAATCGGGCCTTGAAGGGTTATCGGTTTTATTGTGAAATGTTTACTGTGAGAATAGATTTCTTGCTCAGATGTTTAGTCAATGTTTGAAACTTAAAGTGCGAATAACAACAGCTGCTGACAATGGTTGCGGAAGCTTGGGAATATGATGAGCAGCGGAAAATTTGGTGGGGGCCCCCACGTGTTGATAATAGTAACGAAGTTGATTATCAGAAATCATTCGGAGAGCAATTACTAAGTAAAATGCAAATAAATGCCGAAAGAATTTGTCAGGTAAAATACTTGTATATATCAAAATTTGATTATCATAGATAATTCCTTTTCATAGATTTCCGATACGGAAAATATATCTTTAACACATGGAGAAGTTTTGCAATATGGTATCAGCATAGCAAATTTTATACGTTCCCATAATTTTACACATAACGATGTAGTGGGCTTGATAGCAAAAAATTCAGCTTTTGTTCTTCCTATTGCTATAGGTTGTTGGTTAAATTGTACGCCATTACATCCCATTTACAACCAAAGTGATAAAAGTAAGTTAGTTATCAATAATTAAATTATTATAATTATGTACATATACTTTGTAAAAACACAAATTAAATTAATTTTTAATTAATGGTATTTAATAATTTGAACAAATTAAAATTAATTTTTAGCAAAAATTTTAATCACTTTCGAGATTAATAATGAGATTATTTTCGGTTAGGGGGTTTGTTCGTTTTTTTAATGTTTCCTGTTTTTTATTTCATTTTAAAATCAGTTTTTTTTAACTAACATATATAAGATAACATTCCGATCCAACGAAGAAACAATAAAATTCGAAACAATGTTTTAAAGAGGAGCTCTATTATATAAATTAATATATATACGTTTATGTAATATATAATCAACTATCGAATTAATACATAAATGATTAATTTTTTACTTCTCTTTGAAGGCACATTATACATAATACAAAACTGTTATCTTAACTCAAGTCCGCTTTATTCATAAATAGTGTATGATCCAATGATTCTACACAACTACCAGATATATATTTTATGCAACACGATTAGTACATTTCATAGTGTATGAGAATGCAATTATTAATCTATATCAGATATTTTTTAAATGTAAAATGTATTTATACATAAGATACATATATTACAGATATATATTACAGCTCTATAAAATATATAGTATATTTTAATATTATATTATTCCATACTCCATTAGGGGCTTAATAATTTCAAACTATCTCTATTTTGCGAAATTTATCGAAGTCTGTTAAACGATTTGCTAGTTTCAGTATTGATTGTTCTTCGCCATGTTGTCGTTGGCCTGCCTCTACGCCAGGTTCCCTGGTGATTCCTTGTTAGCGCTACGTGGGGGATATCGCCATAAGGGTTACGCAGGGCCTATCCACCCATATTTTCGCTTTTGAATTTCAACATTAATAGAGCATTAATAAGCGAGTAAAGAATGCGCATAAATTCAGTTTTTCTTATATTTATTTTGAGAGCGACTTTCGAGGATTGGTTATACAACTGGGTCAATTTGGATTGCATATGTTGGTGATTATGCGAGAGCAGGATGATGTCATCTGCGTAATCAAGGTCTTCATGGGTAGAATTGAGCCTCCAATTGTTACCTCTATTTTACGTGCTAAAATTTTCTATACTGAGTCTAATACTACAATAAATAACAATGACGTTTGGATGCTGCCTGTTTCACACCAGTTGATGAGTCAAAGGAGTCACTGAATTTTCCGTTTTCAACATGTAGGACTCTGCATGTTGATTGTTCTTAGCTTTTTCTTGTAATGCTTATAATTTTTTGTGGCACTCCCATCCTTCTTAAGGCTAACCACTTCGCTAGCCAATTTGCCGTAAATTACGTTTTTATCTGTTCTTGCTTGTCTTTTTATTTGTTTAGTAAGTATTGCGATCTCTCACCTGAATCTATGAATTATGATAGTATTTTAATGTGCTATATAAAATCATTGATAAATAAATAATTGATATTATTGTTTCAGCTGGGAATCTTTTATCTTAAAATTTTATAGGAAGCGAATGGTGTCCGATCCTAATAAAAATCCAGTCCACTTAGGCTTCACGAATTAGGTTCATTTTAATAAAAACCATATCAAATATAAGTTAAAAAAAACATTTAGATAAGTTAATATAGTTTGAATATAAATTCCATTTCTTAAATAAATTTACATCTAAAAGACATCCAAAACTTTAAACTTTATTTTTTTTTTTAATGTCAATTTATAACACAAAATATGAACATTATTGCAGGTGTTATATCTCATCTTTTTGGTATGACTCGTCCGAAAATCATATTTTGTGACGCTGCTGACTACGAACAACTTTCTTTGGCTTTAGAGGATCTTAAATTGAAGTCACTGGTATTAATAATTGATGATGAAATAGCAGAAGTGCAAAGACTTCATGAGATATTTAAAAACCACACAGAAATAAACAATTTTGTGTAAGGTATTTATTAAAAATGTAATTAAAACATTTAGTTTACACACTTATTATAGACCTTCCAAACTTGTACTTGGACCTGCACAAACAATGTTATATATGTGCTCTTCTGGTACAACGGGGTTTCCAAAAACTATGCATTTTTCAAATCAACAAATTCTTCGTTTATATAAGTATGTTTCAGAGTACTATACTCCTCATGTGAAGTAAATACTAATGATTTTTGTATATTTACAGTATAGGCGATCAGAAAGAAGTTTTGTTCAGTTTCAGCAACCTTAATTGGATAACAGGTCTCATTATAGTAGTAAATACATTACTATCGGGCAGTACACGTATAATTACTTCGACGGGTACAAATGCTGAAGTAGCCTATAATTTGATAGAAAAATATAAAATATCGATGATGGTTACCACACCAAGTCAATTAGCACAAATTGTTAAAAGTTATTCAGACGGAGACAGAAATATAAAGTCATTGAAATTACTAATGTGTGGTGGTGGCATAGTGCCAGTGCCAATTATAGAACAAACTCTTAAAATATTGAATAAACAACAAATATTGACAATACTGTATGGGGCTTCAGAATGGGGTATAACATCCACAAATAAAAATTTCAATAAGCCCAAATCAGCTGGTAAGCTATTACCTGGTTATAGTGTAAAAGTTGTCAATGAAGATGGAAAAGAGTTGGGCATTGGCGAAGTTGGTGAATTTCTTATACAGAATAGTACTGACTGGCATGGGTATTTGCATAACGAAGCAGAAACTGCTGGAATGCTTGATAAGCAGGGATGGTTTCACACAGGTGATTTGGGTTATTTTGATGAAGATGCTTATTTATATATAGTGGATCGTAAAAAAGACGTTATGAAATATCGAGGTGTGGACTATAGACCAAGTGAAATTGAAGGTTGTATTGCTGAATTGTCCGATGTTGTTGAAAGCTGTGTTTTCAGTAGCTATGATGCAGTCGATATGGATCGTGCAACTGCTGCAGTGATAGTTAAAAATGGTAGTCAGCTTAGTGAGTTAGATATAAGAGAGCATGTAGCAAAAAGATTACAGGAACGTATGCATTTACATGGGGGTGTTTATATAGTGGATAGCTTGCCAAAAACTACAACTGGCAAGAATGTACGAAGAAAAGCTAAAGAAATGATAAAGGCGTTAAGGACACATAAAAACTCAGACGTATAAAAGCAATATTATAAAATTAAGATGACTAGCAATGTTTATAATGTGATAATGGAATATTATTGCTTTATAAAAAGTATTATATAAATAATTTAAAATAAAATTGTATTTATGCGTTAAAAAGTATATGTTATTTGTTAGAAAAATTGTTATGTAAAAAAATTTATATTTATAATAAATCAAAAGGGTTTCAATTTGGTATATAAATAATGTTCTGTGGAAAATTATCTGCATATAATAATATTTTATTAGGATTAAATTTATTCAAAAAATGAATTTCAGTCTGATAGGGTATTTTTTCAAAATTTGAAATCGAAATCTACTCTATTAAAACTCATTCTTTGATGCTAATTTAAAATACAAACATTTGTTCCAACTGAGCTTTTACTCATAATTATAAAATACCCTTAGATTTTGAATATGTATCGATACATAATACATATCTGTTATTAAATTTTTAAATAGTAGTAGAAGTATTTTTAGCTTTATTTTACTTCATTTTAAATTTGTTGTATAACATAGAAATTTATAAGAATTATATTTTATACCGTGAGATTCCCCTAACTCAAATCGTCCACGGGACGGCAAAAAAGATCGAGTTAAGGAAAATTCGATTTATAGAGAAAACACTGTTTTGTGATTTTTCTACAAATACTTTTTATATAAAATATTTAGTAACATTTTTATGCTTTTTACCAATCATACTTAAAATTTTCCAAAGTATTATAATGATTTGAATAT